CCAGATTCCAAAAAAGACAAAATTTATATAGTAAACATATCCCCAAAGTTTACTATGGTTTTTCACTGGTTCACTGGCGGATCACGAATTAAGTTAAAAAATATTTTTTTGTTATTTTTATTATTTTTGTTTCAAATATTCTTAGTTAAAATATTGATAGAACCTAGTTTTGATATTAGAATATCTAATTTAAACACCAAATATACAAGAGAATTTACTTAGAAAAAATCTTAAGATACAAATTACTTAGTATATATCTATTCATAGTGTTTTATATTTCTAAACTTTGTTAATAACAAGTTTGCTTATTTGCAAAACCAAAAATATTGTCTACTTTAGTCTAGATTCTTCAAATAGATTTTGGTATAAACTTGAACTAAGTGATTGTTGAAAATTAATATAATTTAATTTTAATAAATAATATTAATAAGACTATTAAAATAAATATATATTTAAACTTAAACAATTTTAATTATTTTATTAATATTTATATTGTAAATGCTGTATATTTTACTAATAATTAATTTACTAATATATTTATTTTATTAATGAATTTATTTTATTAATAGATTATGTTACTAATAGCTTATTTTATTAACAAACTAATTTTAATTATTATTAAAATCAAATTAATAATACAATTAATATTAGTATAATTTATAAAAAAAATTATTAATAAAATAAACTGTTAATAAAATAATCTACGTATAAGTAGAAATAAAATAAATATTAATAAAATAGAGTATTGCTAACTTGAATTATAAAAAAAATTAGCAAAATATTATATCTCAAAAACCTACTAGCTAATTTATATTAAAAATCTTATATTAACTAAAATTAAACCTCCAATATCTAACCTAAGCTTTGTTTAAAATTATATTTTAATTCTAAATTTTAATAATAATTAAAATAAAAATTTTACTCTTGGTTAAATGTAGTTATTTCATAGTTATTGGATGCGAAGTATCCAATAACGGAATTATTGTAAAATTATCTGGCGGTGAAATTTAATGTGACAGCTTCTGGGCCCTTTGGGGCCCAGAAATGACAATATTAGCATCCAATAACTAGATTACATTATTTTATTGGGTTACCGTATCTGCGGTGCAATATTTTGAGGTGCACAAATTCCCGAGAACTAAAAAATTAATTTTAACAAATATAAACAATAATTTTTAATTTTTTAATAAAAATTATTACATAAATTAATTCTTTGCTTTCTGAAAAACGTGTCTCAAAATAACACTCTAGGGCGTTATAAAATCAACGTCGGGGTCATGGGATCAAGCTCACGTGTCGCGTGCCCGTTTTCAGGGTACAGTATTAAATACATACATACGTACGTACGTACGTATGTACGTATCGGTGTATTTTATATCCGTGAAAGGCAATTGTGAATAGCGATAGATACAGCACTCCCGTATAATAGGCTAAACCAGCGGAACGGCCAAAGGAGGTCATTTCCGCATATAGTACTCTCCAATTACAGAAACTCCAATGGGAGCTCACTCGTATGCAATGTCTTTACTTAGTTATAAACATATAATAACGCATACGTACGTATTAAAAAATTAACACTATTGCTATCGCTATATCAAACATGCAGAAATAAAATTTAAATACGTAATTTAAGAAGTAGGGATGGTAAATATCATATGATCAAAAAGGCAAGTTCTGGAATCAGATTCTGCATGATAAAAATAAATGGTAATAAAAGTAATTAATGTTAAGGGGACCACAAACAAATGCATACGTATGTATAACATCTATATCTAAGTCAGTATGACAGTTTATCAGTTATGAATTTATGGGAGTACGTACGTACGTACGTACAAGAATTCCAAAAATCTAGCCATTATGTATTATGTTGTATGAATGTAAACAACTATAAATGAAATAAATTAGTACTAAATGAAATCAAACTCAGAACATATGATTATTAAGTATACATTGGCGTTATACAAATAGGAACCGGAGTTTGGATACTTTTGATGTAGATTAGCATCAAGGTATATGCTATGTTAAATATGTTTCACACTTTGTCGTAAAATATTGATACGTATATATATGTTAATTTGTTTTTACATTATTAGCCAATCCAAATTCATAAATTTATCACACATGTTCACAGACAAATGTGAGTGGTAAACATTAATAAATTACGTTTGTATATATAAAATTGCGTAAGTATATCAATTCTAAAAGATTATTCTATGATGATACTTTTAATAGAAATTTGGCTAGTGCTGGAAAGTCCGACAGAATTCGGTAACTCCCCTTGATCTGACTACAAATAAAATCTTGTGATGAAGTTCCCATGTACAAAAATCACATTATTAAATTTTTTGTTTCACTGAAAAATTAATATTCTCGATTAGAATTACGCGTTGAAAATTTTAAATAATAAACTATTATGTATTTTATCATTTTTAATAATAAAATAATTTATATTGTTAAACGCGATTAAATTTCGTGTACTTATATAATTTTGATTTACTGTATTATTCATTTTATTATAATGCAAGAAAAAATATTACAAATGCCAAGTATGCATGAATGTTAGAATAACAAGAAACGAAAGACTTTTTTTCATTGTTCAAAGTTTTAATATTTTTTTTTTCTTTTTCAAAATAATTTCGAAAATTTCCCCACAATCATTTCATGATGTAAACAACCTCATTATCAAGTGACTTCTCACTGTGTAAAGCGAAACAGCATTCTCTCTCTTAAAATATTTAACAAACTGGGGAGAGTGGCAATTATGGGATGAAATTACGACCATAAACCTTACAAAATTTTGATTTAAATTATGCCAAATCCCAAATCTTCCCAACTTTACTATTTTTTCACAGACATAATTTGCAAACAAAAATTTGTCTATTACTCCACCCGTATAATTTTCACTGCTGCTATTGCCGCCACTATGTTCCATATTATTAGGGTATAGCTCATGATGAAATAAGAGAATCAATTTAAGGTTGAAGAATGAGTGGAATGCGTAGAATTCTTATTAGAACTATTAGACCCGTTTGAACTCCTAGAACTACTAGAACTGCTGTTACTAGAACTACTAGAACTAAGTGCAGAAAGACTAGTTTTTGGTAGGCGGCCAGCTCTCTCATATATGGCACGACGTTGCTTATGACGTTCTACTCTACGATCTATTATAGAAGGAACAGGATAATCCAACAAATTATCCTCCATTTCTGTGGGCTCTTCGTTTATAGCGTTATCGGGAAAAATATATATTGATGGGCACTCTGAGCATAAGTTTACTGGTATTATGTTTTGTGTCATTTTCTGATTTATTTTGAGGTTTGAAATAAGATAAGTGTCTTGGTAATTTGTTTTATTTTTTTTGGTAAATCTCTCGACTGAGTGTTGATATTGATGTATTGGGTGAATTTTGAGGCCTATTTATATTTTACAATTTTTCTTGTACTACCGATATGACCCCAAAACCGGTAATCGATGTCTTTCTGTATAGAAGTTTAGAATGTTCATTTGCATAAAAGGCTTTTGTACAACACAAAAATAGAATACCAATCACAAAATAAATTTACGGAGTTTGATTTAGTTTCGTGTATTGTACTACGAATTACTTGATACAGTACATACAAAGCTAAGCACTATTGAGGCACAACCCCCCCCCCCCTTTGTTGCATTTTTTTTGAATAATAAAAAATTATCGATATTGATCACTAAAACGAAAAGCCCTTGTTTAGTTTAATAATCCTTGTTTAGTAGTTAAAAGGGTAACGATTAAAGAATTTAAGCCCGTTGGGCTTTGCGAGGCTTTGTAGGATTTTCAACTACGCAACTCCGCATTTACGTACGTACCCTACGTACCCTACGTACGTACCCTACGTACGTACGTACCTAGCTACGTATGCATTACGTACTGTGTCGAATACGATTATACGGAGGCGACTGCCCCGTGAAGTACATTTATACGGACTAAACCGCCCCGTGAAAACATACATATACGGAAAATTGGGCTTATTTTTTATCTTTAAAAAGAAATGAATTAATTTAAATGGTAAATATAAAGATTTTAGATACCGGTAATTCAAAAATTTGTATTAATAAATCACTTCATTCTAGCTTTTCCGATCATGACAATCAAAGATTAAACTATTTTTATTTTTTAAAAAAATAAATGATTAATTATTTTTACATATTGACAATCGTCCTTATACTAATTACAATTCATTTGCTCATAATTTATTTACTCATACAACACAATATTTGAATGAAATTCAGAATTTTAATCGGTTAATTATCGGTTAATTGCGGAGTAACATATGGATATTAATAAGGGATTTAAATAAAAACATATTAATAAAAATCAATCCTTTTGTTTATATTGTTAATAAAAATAAATTGATCACTTGAAAAAAAAACGTACATTAATTACATTGTTTATTAAAATCCATAAGAATATTCTCTTCCAAATTATCCATATTTCTGTATTTTGATTGATTCGCATTGACCATGTTTACAATCCATGCATGATCAATTACTTTTTTGTTTTTCGTTATATAGAACCCTTTTTTCAAAATTTCGCGTGTTTGTTGGTGAAACCTTATGCTTAATCTTACCGTTGAATAAATAAATGAAATTATGATTTGTACCAAAACAATTTATTATGCTACCTGTTAAGTACGTACGTATATAAGTACGTACATATATAAGTGTGTAAATAAGACAATTTTATGTATAAGCAAACTTAGTGGTTATTGTCACATGCTTCTATATATGTAACATTTTAATAATTTGCATATATTTTTAACGTGCGTACGCACGCACTACAAAAAAAAATTTAAATTTAGTAACATGTGACTATATTCTTCCACATGGTTAATCTTTTAGGTAGAACAAACTTGTTATCCGGGTTCATGTTTCGTCCGCCGTAATAATAACGATAAACCCGATCACTAAATTATGAGATCTAGACCACTATATGATTTCCGACATTGCATATCCGATATGCTTGATGACAAATGGAATGCCTATAAATGTCCTAAAAGCCGATTTCAAAATTTGATGTACATATCGATATCAAAATTAATGCATGCATATGAATTTTAGATACGTATTAATACTGTATAATGAAGTGATTTTTATCACTTGATTATTTTTGATTATTATCATGTATGATAATATCTCATGATAATATTCTTTTTTCATACATAATACATACTGTATAAACGTACATACATGTTTTAACAGTTAATAAAATTGCCGTAACGTTAATATTATCTTAGATTTTACAAATTACTGGAAAACTTTAATATTTTCTGGAATCTACGTACGTAGTATGACGTTACATCTTACCAAACTTATTTTTAATCTGACGTTACATCTTACCAAACTTATTTTTAGTCTGACGATACATACATTCGGCGTAACATTTAAACCGGAAGTTAAATTCCAGAAATGGTTAAACCAGGATTTTGACGTCCATTGTGTAACAGTTCTAGAAATTCTAGAATTTCGAAAGAAATTTGTTTAACAATCATTTAAACTAATTATTATCTTCCGAACTTCACTACTAACTTAACATGTTATCGTGTAATGATAATCTCTGTTATTAATAACTTAAGGTTTTACAAATTCAATTTTTGGGTGCATCATCGATTTTTTTACGTACTAGATTGTATTATTCTTATTTCTGTATTTGTTTAAAAACACCTCGAAGCCTTTTTTGGGTTGTATCCAATAATAAAGTTGCAAATTATAAATATATAATAATAAATATAAAGTTGCAATAATACTTACGTACGTACGTACGTAGTAATAATTTGTACTACGTATAAACGTACGTAATAAACGTACGTAATAAAGCTGTAATAATAGTTATAATTATTCGTACTTACTAATAAAGTTATTAAACTAGAATATCGTGAAAAATTGTTTCGTTTTCAAAAAAAAATAAAATAGAATTATTGTACACAGTATACGTGTAACTGACTGATACGATAAGAAGTATTGTAACTTGACAAAGTCAAATAGCTATTAACAAAAAAAGTTTTATTTTCAAATATTCGCATCTGAAACAAACCGTTTTGGAATTAAAATGATCTGAACTAGTTATACAGTATAGGTAATTTAGACAAAGTTATTAATCTTCTTTTGTGTACCTGCATAGAATCTCTATTGTTTCAAGAAAAATTGAATTTTGAATCAAGATTATCTTGGAACACACTGATTCCTTGAATAGTGTAAAATCTCGCTCAAGTCCGCTCGTTGTCTATATTATAATTTTTTATTGATAATCTTCAAATCCAGGTTTTAATTTGGCACTGGTTAAAAAATTATAACAATGAGTCCGTATAGTCCGTATAGTCCGTATAATTGGTTGGAGCAAAGGGAAAGTCTTCCTAGCTTTATTACAGTGTTGGCATTGGATATAGTTATTGAATGTGTAGCAGACAATAACACCTGTAGTTGTCGTACTGGTTTTATGTGACTAATATAGCCTAAAATAGGCCTTAGCGTTAGTTCAGTGACATAATCACTGATTTGTATATGATTTATTCATTGCGTAGTAATTTTAAAATAATTCTTTCTTGAGATGTCAACTATCGATAATTGAACTATCGATAATTGAACTATCGATAATTGAACTATCGATAATTTGAACATGCAACCAATATCAGCACTAACCAATAAGGCAAGATAAAGAACGAACCGTACAAACAATGCAACATTAGCACAACCAACACTGCAAGCAACAAACGATACAATCAGTAAACCGTACAAACAATGCAACATTAGTGCAACCAACACTGTCAAGCAACAAACGATACAATCAATAAATAAAAAATAATAAACTATGCAAGTGACGATCGAAGAAGAGCGAACGAAATTGTCATAGTCGATCATTTAGACATCGTAAAAAACGAAAATATTCCAATTTTTCTTCAATAACTAATTTAAAATGTAAACATTATTCAAAATAATTCAAAATATTATCCTATTTTCCAATAAATAACATTTTCATTTAATGATACTTTCGTCCACTAAATAACGATTCTAAATGCATCCGACTTAGTAATGTCTTTGCTGAGAAATAACAATTTTAAAATATCGACCTAATAACATCTTTGTATAATTTTACGTAAATACCTCCGACTAATCATGTCTTTGCCAAAAATAATGGCTAATATGCAATATAGATAGGCTCACAAGGACTTACGTATCTGCAGGCACTTAATACAGTGCCATTTAGATATTGCATATTAGCCAAATAACAGTTTTAAATGCATCTGTCCTAATAAATGTCTGCCAAGAAATAACAAATTTAAGTAAATACGTACAGTGCATCCGATCTAATAATAGAGGGTTTCAAAATTAAATTTTTATTTTTCCGGTTTATAATTCAACATAGTAAAAATTGTATTTACGTACTTATTTTCGAAATATGTCAGTTATTTGTTAATTTTGAAACCTCCTAATGTTGTTTTTTGCCAAAGAATACCTATTTTAACTCTTTGCTCAACAAATAATTAAAAATTTGCACGGGTCTATTTGATCATGTGATTTTCGTAGACTCGTGCGAATAAGTGAAAAAAATCCGTACAATAATTTTTGAAAAAGTTTAACCATATATCCAATCACATTCAAAATTATTGCACATAGGTCTAATGCGCCAACACTGCCTTACTATACTGAATGCCCGACTTCTGGTTCAACTGGTTCTAATTTAAGTTCAATAGTCAGAAATTGATTCTGAATTAAATTTAACTTTGGACGCCAAAATCTTGGTTAAATAAATTCACCTACTATTCCCACCTAAAATTCAATCTGAGCATTAGCATAAGAATTAATCATAATCACGAGATTATCGAAAAGAGAAATAATGAATTCAAATTATTTATTCAAGAACTTATCGATATTTAATTATTGGCTCAATTCTTGAATCGAATTATATTCAAATTCGAATCCTTCAAACTTATTTATTGCCCATCAAAGTTTCATTCCTCATAATTTTTTTTTTTTTTTTTTTGCATTTTCTAAGTTTTTAATTCGAATTATTATCATTATTGTTTATTATTGTTGTTTTGTTCAAGCTCTTCAAATGTTATATATTTTTTTTCTTTTGCAAATATTACATTTTCTTTTTCTGCTTTCATTTATACATTTTAAAGGAATCAAATAATATAAATATGGTTGTGCAAATTGTGTGCTTTCTATTTTAGAAATTTTAAAAGTTCAAAGAGATAAAAAAAAAATTCAATATCGATTATTTTATATTTAAAATATCGTATTATTAATAAAATTATGGCGACTGA